TACTGAATATGCTACCCACCCATTGGTCACTTAGTAGCCATGTAGATTATCAGATCCACTGTGCTGGTATCTCAGTGCTTGTGCTCAAGGCTCCTTATTTTACTTAATAAAGGGCCAAAGCCCAAGAGTAGTCATGCTGGTGATTTGGATACGCCAAAGAGAAACCATAAAGTGATTCCTTTAAGTGAAAAGTTATGTATGTGTAGGAAGAAAACATAGTATATCAGGCATCCACTGGGGGTCTTGGAATGAATCCCTCTTGGATAAGGGGGTAATATATATGCCTTTAAAAGTAATAGTTTTATGATTTTTTTAAGTAAAATTTGGGATTAGAGCAGGATAATTAATAGTGCAAACTTTGGAGTTAAACAGAATAGGTTTTGACCCCCAACACTATCAATTCCTAGTCCTGTGATTTTTTGTGAAATACTTACCCCTAAGTTCCTTATCAATAAAATAATAATAATAATATCAGATAATCTGTAGGATTAATGAGATCATGCACGCAATCAAAGAAAGCTTTTGGCTCATGGTAGTAGGTAAAGTGGTGATTATTTCAAATTATTTTTAATTAAAACTTGTAATGGCCATTGTTTAATAGAAAGACTTTAGGGGTATGATCTCAGGAATATATCCTGAATAATTGTCCTCTATTTTATATATTAAAGGGGTTGTATGGTTTTGTAAGAAAGGGGCAATTTTGTTCTTTTGATCTACATTCCTAGTCAGGGATTAAATTGTACATTGGACTGTTCCTGTTAAAGCTAAATCATCTCATTTCTTTATTATTTGGAGGGAGAGCTTAGATGTGTTGTTCACTGTCTGAAAGGGCAAGCAGCCTTGTTAATCTCCAGGAAAGAATAGTCCATATAGGAAAGTATGCCAGTGGGGTGCCCCTGACTGTCTTTCAGATAAAAGGAATATCTAATATTATTTATTAGACATGATATGATGATGTACTGTTTTTAAAAATACACTGATTTACTGGTGTTAAAAAATAAACCAATTTATGAAATACTTAGAATTAAAGGTAAATTAACACCATATGTAATACATAAGTAAAATAATGATTGGGACCATTTGGATGTGTCCTAATTCTTTTATACTTAGAAGAAACATTTCTTTTCAAGATATATTAATTTGATGTAATTGGTTGATTTGGCTCAACAAGCCCTTGACTATATTTGAAGAATCATTTAATGTAACTAGTTTTTAATGCTCAAGACTTGCACCTGTAATTCATATTTCTTTTATCCAGGCTTGATTCCTATAAACCACCTCTTTATCTCTTGCATTTTTCTTCTGCCTGCTTAAAAGCTGCTGATATTTCCCTTTAATTTCTACAAGTTGCTGAGATCAAGAATAACTAATATTTTCAAAAACCATCCAGTATTTTTAAAAGGAACAAGAATAAGCCAGTTTCTTATACTAGTATGTTGGTAGTATTGGTGTGCATCCCGTAATAAAATAGCTAAAGATAGCTTTTAGTATTTTATGTTTGTTGATCATATTATCCTACATTAGTCTATCTGGTCTTTCTTTGCACTTAACCAAGTCAGACCTGTTAGACATTTACTTTATTTGTTCCTTTTCACACCACTGTGGTTTAATAAGATATTTTTCCTCTGAAAATACTATTTTCAATGTCCAAAAATTTCATTCTAAGTGAAGACCTGGCAACCTTGAAATGTTTGAATGAAAATAAAAGCTATGAAGATTAAAGAAACCCCACCAATGCTATGCACCAAACAGGTATTTGAGAAGAAACTCACAGTGAAAGAGGGGATTGCAATAGTGAACATTTCCTGAGAGGGATGCCAGTGAATAACATCAACTATGTGCAAGAACTACTGTAGTTTTGAGAGCTGCTTGCTGTGTGTCCCCAGATGAGTGCAGGCTTCCTCTGGAGAGCTTGAAGGGGGGCCTGGAGCATCCCACGCTGCTCAGAGGCCGTGGGAGCAGTCCTGGGAGGATTTATTTTTGGCATTAAAAAATAATAGTGCTTCAAGGGCATGTGCCTTGGTTGCGGGCACATCCCCAGTGGGGGGTGTGCATGATGTTTCTCTATCATCAATGTTTCTGGCTCTCTGTCCCTCTCCCTTCCTCTCTGTAAGGAATCAATAAAAATATATATTTTAAAAAAATAGTACTTAGCATGTGAACTACATTAGCAAACAGTGAAACAAAAGTAAAAATTCACCTTCTTACCTGTCACCTGAGCAAATCATTATGTGTGATTCAGTTTTGTGAATAAAAGGAGAGGCAGTGATGTGGGGTGGCGTGGGGTGGGCCAGCTATCATGACCGCAAGTTGATATGTGAACACGGCTCCATTTTATAAAATATTTGCTGCACTTGTGTTTGCAAGCTAAGTTTATTTGGTTGCGTTTTTACCACAAAGACGGAAATCTGTGGTACTAGTCTTTTGGGGGACAGTGCATGTTTTGTTGGTTCCACTGTTTAGCAGCCAGACTCTACACTGATAAACAGAAAGCACTGTACCTGCCTTGTTCTCATATAGTAATTAAGCTGCAGAGGGAAATCTCCTTCCCCCTTCCCAAGAGCATTAAGCTAAGCTTGAAAGCTGATTAAAAGATACTTAAGATTTTAACATATGTTTTCCTATTTTTATAAATATGTGCCTTGCCTTTAAATTATGTTTAGTGAAGTCAGTAAATTCTCTCTTCACCAAAATAATATTTTATACATTCAGTGGTTGACCACTAAGCCACGGGCATAGGCTACATTTGCCTTCTCATGTAATGAATTTGTGTGGAAAGCAGTTAAACGGTGTCTTCAGGAGCTTGGTCATTTAAAGAATGCAGAGGAAATAGCATTAAGTGTCACAAAATTGTGTACCTTACTTATTTAAACCTATGTTTTCTGGGAATTTCTTGGAATGCATTTTCCCATAGAAGTAATATGAATATGTGTCTCTGTGTTTTTAAAGCAGCAGAACCCCCCCACCCCCACCCCCCACCCTATTATCCCCAAACAAAATCTTAGATAGGGTTCTACTTGATTTTCTTGGGGATCTTTTAATCTCCAGTTGTGTTAGCCTAAATAAGACATGGAATTTGTTATTAAGG